GGAAAAGGGAAGGGACAGCCGTCCGAGAAAGGGGGCGGGCAGGTGGCGGAGGGCGGCAAAGGAGCTGGAAAGGTGCCGGCCGAGATGATGGCGCCCCCGCCTGCCAAAGCTGCCGAGCCGAAAGCAGCTCCAGCGACGACTGACCCAAAGGCGACGGCATCCAAGGAGGCGGGAGATAGTCAGCAAAAAGCCAAGCCCCCAAGCCCGCGGCAAAGCCCCAGCCCGAAACCTTAAATTACCCAGAATCCTTACCCCTGCTTCAGGCGAACCGAGGAGGATGATGATGCTGCCGTCCGAGCACAGGCGCCCGAGGTTCGACTTTCTCGGGCCTGTGCTTTCACACGTCTTTCTTCTCGTCCAGGACGAGACTGCCGCGTGGTGCTCTTCCATTCTGCTATGCAATGCTGTCACACTTTCTGCTCGTCCGAGACGAGCCTGCCGTGTGCTGTTCAGCGGTCCGAGCCGAGCAGGGCATTGCAAAAAGGAAGTCCGTGCGTCAGGGGTTAAATTTTAAATGTTGGTGTTCGTAAAATGTTGGTGTTCGTGAACTTGCAGCCTTGGGTGTTACAAAATTTTCGTCAGTTCTATCTGATAATTTATCGTGCATAATAAATAATTATTAATAATTATAATAATTATTATTATATAATAGTATTTGATAATATTATTTACTCTGCCCTCGAGGTCAGAATCTAATCTAGGGGTTTCCACAAGCAGGAGCTTGAGAGCTGAGACTTCCTGGGATATCCGGGCCTTGGTTGGAACTTTAAACCATTCAGATTCTACTGAATATCTTCACCCGATCCCAAATTTCAACAGCTGAAGAAGAGTAACAGGCCAAGTTCAGGGACCTTCATCCGTTCAGGGCATTCCTTACTCTTCTAGGGAGGGTCGGTAGTTTCCGGGAAACTCCTGCCCCGGCCTCTCAACACAGGTACTCCGCACAAGCCCCCCAACGAGGCATTAATCCTTCGTATTCCTGGCAACTTGTTGGGGCAGGTATAACTTAATAGCTCATAGGAACTGGGGTAGTCGGTCCTTACTCGCCCTTGTGCTCGGTTCTGGATTCGTCCTACTTTTGGATTGCAAAGAAAGACTCGGTCAGGGTTGTTCAATTGACACGAGAATCGGTGAACCCACGTGTGTCAAAATTATCAAGGCCCGAGAGCGTGGAAATTTGTCCTCTGAGTGCAAAAATAACTTCGTCAGCTACGAGCAAAGCCGCCCAGCCCGAGACAGAAGCAGACAAAGCCACAGCCCTCGTACCTAGGAATCGGAAGCCAAGATTAATTAAGCTACTTCTGAATTAAAATAGATGAATGAAGTCAGACAGTTGAAGCAAATAATTCCAGAATGTTTTAATCAGCCTTACTTTCACCTTCTGCCTTGGCTGACATTCTCAGTCTGAGCCCTGGCCTTGCATTTCCTGCGCTTGGTGCTGCTGAAAGAGGGGACTGTCTGCTCTCGACCTATGTTCAGCGCCAAATCTGTGCATTTTCTTAAGAGAAGTTACGCCAGCTTTGTTTCGTTGGGATCCAGGACAATCTGGATAAGAACTTCCAGGGGGCCTAGCGTGATGCAGGGCCTTCTTCTACACATCCCCTACCTAATGGTTTTAGGTACCAGCCTGTGGCCCACGAGGTGTCTGCTCGCTGGGAACCATTTTCGGGCTTTTTGGGTTTTTGGGCGTTTGTTCCCTTTGAGGCGCTTTTCATTTCAATGGTTAGAGCTCCGGCCCTTAGCTTCCTGGCAGCTCTGATATAGCTGGGTGGGGCCTAGCGACGACCTGTGCAGAGGCTAGGGGTAGGAGCCTCATCACTGATTAGGCCCTCCTTGCCCTGATGTATTGTGCGGCGTTGATTCTCATCTTGCCACGCAGTCTCTGACAAATGGCTGTGTATTCCCTACTAGGTTGCGTCAGAGGTCAACGAGAGTCTATCCTTGCCTTCTGCTTGCCCTCAGGTGTGCCAAGCAGCG